AAGTACCTTTTTTTCGCGCCTTGCACCACAGAAATCAGTTTTCTGTCTTTTCAGAGTTTAGAATAAGACCATATTAAGATGTTAAACTGCAAATAGTGTAGATGTTTTGCAGTCTTTGGTTAACCTCAGGGACACAACCACAACTGAGCTGTCAGAATACTTGATAATTTGAGAGGAGCATTAACAGTAATCTGAGTTACAAATATACTGAAAAACAGAGTGACAGAACCGAACCTTGGACTATGTCTAGGCTGTTCGGCATGACCTCTGATTTCTGACAAGTATGTTTCACTGACGACGGAACGACAGAGGGATAGCAATCCACTGTGTGGTCGAACGGTCCACGGAAGTCCAGGAAGTTTCAGCATCAGGCCGTCGCGCGGGATATTGTTGAAGGCATAAGATAGGTCGAAGAATGCTGTTCTTACGATTCTTTCGCCCTCATCCAGTTCACTGGTGATTTCTTCTGTGATACAGGCAAGCAAATCGTTGGTTCCAAAATATGTTTATGCACAATACATGTTACTGCTCTTTCAAGTAACAGAACATTACTACCATTTTGCACGAATCTCACAGGCCTTTTTTAAGAATCTTTCGGTTGTTTCCGACGTGGTTGCCTGCAGCAGATCACTCGCCATCTAGGAATGAATATATTTAATGCTTAAGGTAATTTACGTCCCTATCATTCTGGAATGACCAACACGTATTCATCTGAGATGTGACAAAAAATTGTTCGGTCATATATCGTAATATTTTATATTAAGGATTGGTTTTTGGCTCGTTACTTTCATCTCTTGGGGAAGTATGCGCCTCTTCGTCACGGTTCCGAATAATATTGCTCGGCGAGTACGGAATGAACAGATGGGAATGCCTGCTGAAACGTGCTCACGTCACTTTGTACAACACTGGCGAAGACCTTATGTCATCGTTGCTGCTGCTAATATCTTTGGATCGATTTGTAGCCATGGTGTCGACCGAAATGTACGGCAAGTTGAGTCGAAAAACCGTACTTTTGCTGTTGAATTTAGTGGTGATGTCGGCGCTGATCGACGGCCTTTTCATTTGGACGTACATACTATTGGACGGTGGTGAAATGGTGTCGGCAATGTGCCTTCAAAACAGTGTTGTTCCTCGTCTTCAGTACTTCATCCACGTCTACTTCATGTTGTTTGCTAGTTACGCCAGTGTCGTCATTTACGTGGCAGCCATCATCTGTTCTCGAATGCAACGGCAAGCTGACGTGTACAGTTGGCAGTTGAAACGGGAGATGATCGTCACAAAACGCCTGGCGTTCATCATCATCAGTAACTTCGTTCTGAACGCCGTTCCTCTTACTGTATTCACCTCGGTCAAATACGAATCGAACATCTTTGAAGTACTGAATTTGTTCATCTGGCGTCTCACGTCCCTCGATCAGATCATGCAAATTCTCCTGTATGCATGGCTCCATCCAGATGTTCACAAGTGCATGGCAAATTTATTCCGCAGTCTATTGCGACAAAATCAGATACAGCCGCAGGAGCAAACTGATTGCATGTGAGCACGTTTCGTTGTTGTTGTCACGTTGGCCAATAGCACTGCGGTGTCGACCAACGAAACCCCTGTAGCTGTTTTTCTTCGACAGATGGTTGACACCTTTTCAAGGTAACTGGCACTGCTATAAGCATGGTTTCAATATGACAAGCATACAATGTAAATCACTGTGTACATTATAAATCATCGACCAGACATTTTTTGCAACACAAAAAATGACAATAAGCAGCTTCAAATTTCGGTTTATCATAATTCTCAGTTGGTAAACGTAATACTTCAACAGTGCAAAAATTATAGTAAAATTTGCGGCCATTAAATATCATTCTCTTGTACACTAAAATGAACAGCAAAAGCGTTTATCATAATTTGACCGATATTCAACAATAAAAATATTTAGGAACCACATATCGTTTTGAAATAAATACGTATGACATTGTGGCTACAATGTTTGTTTCGTGGTGCTTAATCACAGGAATATTCATTTATCTGCTTTCGAAGATAAAAGAGAATGACACAGTCAGAATTGCAGAACAATGGTGTCGCTTGCGGATTTGATGCTGTTATACTTGTGCTACAAGGGTTCTTTTGAAGAAAGTTGGCCAAAGCATAATTTAAACAAAATTTCGAATGGACATGCAACTGTATCCACATAGAATCACTGAATAAGCATAATGCGCGTGTTTGAAACGGATTGCACATAATTACAATTAGCGATCCATTTCAATGTCTTGAATACATTAATATTTATTGACTGATTACATTGAGCTGATCAAGTTTGCTATCAACTGGATCAAATCGAGTCTAGACAGCATTAAACAAGTTTCATAGGCTACGGCAATACCGCACCCTGTACTCTGTCGGTTATTCTCAGGTCCACGGTGTGGAGAAATTAGCGACAAATAAAAAGAAACAGTGTGCATTTGCAAAGCAGTGCAACTATAGCATATAAGAATGATATCAAGACAACCATAGTTCCAAAGGAGACAACTCTACTACTTTTTCACAGTGAATGATTTTCCATGTTCAAGATAGGAATTATTTTGATAATGCCAGGAAACTAACAGGCCAACTTTCATTAATTCGCACGGGATGTCTGTGTCTAAGACAGAAGACAAAATTTGAATGTCTGTAATTGCATGTTAGAGGTCAACCCAGAGTTGACATAACACTTCGCAACCCAGTGGCCTCTAGGCTTTGGGTCATGATGGCACAGTGGCAAAGAGGTTAAGTCCCAATTCGTAGGAGGGAGATCCCTGTCCTAACCGCAAATGCCCCTCAGGAATAATTAAGTCCCCGTCGTTTCGGCGTGATTAGCTGAAAAACGAGTAATAAATTAACGACGCGAAAAAAGGCCAGCGTAGTATTCTGGTCTGATCATGTAGGAATGGACGAGGTGGATCGCCATACTTTCCAGTTTAAGCACACTCTGCGATTGCACTTCACCCTTACCTATCTGAGAGTTGAATGTCCTGCGTAATAACAATCACAAAGTGTAACCTTGATTTCCTTTTAACCACTTCGTCACGCGATTAAACAACGAGACAGCGGCAATGAGGGGAAGGGCCACAAGAAAGAAGAAAAGGATTACGCACAACGTTAAGAAAAAAATGCGGTAAGGATGACACTGCAAAAATTTTATTATGATATTTTTTCTCGTTGTACATATCCAAGAGCACCATCAGACCTGCCAGCGGGTGGCAGAACTTCATATGCCACGACAACACAATATGTTGCAGCCAGCGTGATTTCTCGATGAATATCAGAAAATTGAAGTGATTCAGGTGCACTCCAAAAGTAACATGATTTTAATAATGATCCTTCTTCCAAAACCGACAATAAACTTACTAATTTAAAACTGCACAATATAATCTAAACATTTAAATTAGACTCCTGGTTAGAGTACCTTCTGAGAAAACTTGAGAAGCGAAACAGAAAAGCAAGCTTCCGACGTAATAATAAAACCGCGTCAGGCATTAAATGGGTCTAAGACAGTATGGACAAGTAACGCTATAACATGATCGAAGAAAAGACAGCACAGATTCGGATTCGACATTCGTTTTTGGTAGTACAGGAAGGTTCTAATTTGAAAGGTAAAACAAACGACTGAAACCATCTGCCGATAGAAACGAAATAAGGCACTTAAAACAATAAACGACAGTAAAAACAAATACATGCTGGATGACTAGAGTTCACAACACTGGAATGTCAAAACAATGTCAATAAGATACAATGACCAAATTCAATAATAAACGAATGTACGCAAAGAAAATCATCACTGTAACAATTCTTAATTACAATAGTCATACATGTTTACATGGAATGGATTGCACAGCATCTATTCGTTTAAAACCTGAAGTTCTAATGGAAACCGACTGTCGAAGCCGGCATTAACTGTTGGTGGCTGCGTTCAGAGGGATCATGTCCAGGAGTGCGTTGCTTGATGCCGAATGCAGATCGCTTTCGTACCGCGAATCGAACTTGAGTCTGACGAATTCTCTGGCTATTTCATCATAGTGACGCTGCGAGAGAATCCGTAGCAAAATAAGGCCCGTCTCGTCTATAAGTTGGCGCCGCCCAAGCTGCACCCAGCAAGCGCACGAGCCGTGCTCGACAAAGTTCCGCAGCTGCAGTATGCCGACGCCGATCAGACGATCCTCCCTGGCAAAGCAGTAGTCCTTCGCTTGAAAAATTAGCTCATAATGTTCCATGTCGTTTTCGTTGCCAATTATGCTAAAAACAAAGCAAAAGTTTAACAAGGTTGGCTAATGACAAGCTACGATTGTAAAAAACGACTGGATTTAGCACAATCAGCGGATATATCGGCATTTTCATCATAACTGACCAGTAAAAGCATTCACATGCACTGAAAAAGCATACGATCGTTTCTACGGTGGTAATACAGCACAAGAAATGTAAACAAGAAAAACTTACAAGTGAAATGTTTCGTTAAACTTTGGAGCCCAGTTGTTAGTTTTAGATTTAGTGGTGAATTTCCGCTTCTTGTCACCCAAACCTGGTCCAACAAGGTGAACTTCGATAAACGGCCTGAAAACGCCCGTCGTCTGCCAACGCAAATCATTCGCAGCTACGACTGAAAAAATCAGTTACAAGAAAAAAACTGGGCTGACACTTGGAAAAACACCTTTCACGGTGACTTTGTGCTCCCCGGTTCCCGGGTGGGTAAACAAGTCCACCTGAACACTGATTTCTCCAACGGGTTCCTCTTGAGAAAGAGCGTCTTAAAAGGACACTTCAGTAAAAAGTTTAAAAAACAAAGAATAGCAAGATTTACCTTGGTCCTTCTGCAGATCAATGAACGTTTTTATAAGCTGACCCGTGGTTTGGGTGTACAGCGACAGTGCGTACTTCAAGCTCTGATATTCCGCGGACTTCTCCAGGAAACCCTTTTTCAGACCACTACCCCCGGCATGGAAATAGGATTTCACAGTGTCGAGTGCGGCGTCAAGAACAGTGCACTGTTTAGGGGTCAGGCTTTTCTCTGACTCTCGCGCTAGTTCCTAAACAATGACAAAATTCACGCTTCAACGGCCTATTAACTATGAGTTAAGGCTACCATAACTTCCTTCACTGAAGTCAAACTTCTCACGTCTTTTAGGTGATCAGAGAGTAACTT